TGACTGAAAATTTTCATTTTTTACTGAAAAGGTGGTGTCTATTTACTTGTGACCATGCTGTGTACTTGTGTAAACAAATACATGCGTGTGGTCTCACGTGTGAAGGAATGTTACATGGAATCATTCATGAATGTTTTAAAACAAACTAATCAGTTACACAAAGAGTATAGTAATAAAGAAGAAGACAACATGGGCTGGGAGACAAAGGATTTGATCACAGTGTTAAGGATTGAAGAATATGAGATTAACTGTAATAACTAATCCAGCAGTACAAGTTTTACTATTTATATTTTTATGAATATTTATACTTTATTGTACTGAGTGAGTGTCAAGTTGTTATTTGTAAGCTCAACTTTGGTTAGAAGTAAAGTGCTAGTAGCTTTATATTAGGTTCTCTGGATCAATTAGTATCTCATGAATAAAAGTGAATAGATTTTTTTTTTAGATAATTTATACAAGACCACATCAAGGCACAAAATCATAATCTTCAGAGAAAATAATAGTTATATTTTTAAGTCTGTGGCCACAGCTGAGCCTTTAACTTTTGCTGGACTTTTTATGCCAATTCAGAATAATAAGCTAGATCACGTGGATGTATTATTAAGTGTGGAAACTTTTTTAAAATGCTTATGTTTTTTACATAATTCTACCAATTTATTAATTCCATACAGAATTAAATTTAGGCCATATTGTGATTAAAAATTTAAAACTTGCTCACACTTTTCTTTTTCATATGGAAACTTAAAGGAAGCTACTGCTATGGTATTCAGATATCATATATTCCACTTTTATGTGTTATATTTAGTATAAAAAAAAATATTTCTAGAGTTCCATTTAAGAAAATGGTAAATCTGGTTTATGGCAATGTGCTGATTTGACACTAGGTATTTACTTTCTATAGTATGTGTTACCTGTTGTTTCATGGCATGGTTTTAATATGTACAACATCACCCTGAATGTGAGTTTATTTTATGGTTGTCACATAGAACAAAGGTACTTCTGGAATCTTGCATTCAAATTTTGAAATTGATTAATTACAGATAATATGAATTGTCAGAGTGGTTTTGGCATTCTTCAAAGATAAGTTCCCCAACTCAGAAGGATACACAGTGAAGCTCTGTTTGTTTCTGAATTTATTAGTAATGACATTCAGCCACTGACTGTATATATTTTGATTTTTACTTAAAAAAAACAGTTTCTTATTTATTGTAAGATATAATTCTGCATCCATTAAATTACAGTATAATGTATTTAATTATATCGGTAATGATTCCTATCATCTTGTATAATTGGCCTTTGTTTCACTGAGCTCTCCAGCAGTTAAGTTGCCTGACTTCATACCAGATCTTGTTTCTTTCATCTTCTTTCATTCAGTTGGTGACAAATCACTATACTTATCATTTTAAATACTAGGCACACAAGGTAGTTGTGTGCTGTATCTGTTCAGTCTTGTTAGAAGCAAGATTTCTGCTATATATGCTTAAGATTAGACTCCACTGTGTTTAGGCTTGTTGATTTTCTGTTATTATCTTAGTATAGTTTGCACAAGTAAACTGAATGGGGCAATGCTAAGCATTAATTTCACTAATGCTAACAAGTCATTGTAGTATAGTTTGCACAACTAAATTGTGGGTGGTGATGCCAAACATTAATTTCATTAACATGAACAAGTTTTACCTCACTATAACTATATAGAGCCCTTGCTTTAGGACAAAGTTTTTGTTTACCAAAAAATAATCAAGGCTCAGGTAATAATGTAAGGTTTTTGAAAGATTTGTTCACACTATTATTTTTCTTAATACAAACTTCATTTTTTCTTCAAAAATCTACAGATAATTTAACATTTATTTCTCTCATTACCTTACTGAAACTTATTTTAAATAACATGTTCCATATAGTAATCTAGTATACTGTTTATCAAACACAATCTTATAAACAGTGTTCATTTAAAAACTTACAGTTTAATCATTCTGTAAGTAACCTTTTTTTACATGAAAAAGACTGGAATTTTTTTATCTTTTTTACGTTTTTTTATAGCTTTACATATGTACTCCCACTTTTTGTACCTGGCTTTGACAAAATTGTGGCATCGTCTAGTCCAGATGTCGGAGATGGCCTTGGTATAGCAGCTTATGTTTTTAGTAAACTTAAAAACATGACATATAGTATCAAAGGTAAGATTCCAATAAAATATCATATTTTTAGATAGTTTAATAAAGATCAACTTCACTAGCTTTTATCTCAAACATAGAATAGTGCCATGTTGTTGATTAATGATGCTGGTTTCAAACCACCTCTAAATCATCTTATTTCTCTTTTCAATAATATCCTAAGAATGTAAGTTTTGTCAAAATAGAATACTAACACAAGTAGTTCATAACTGGTTTGATAATTGGCCTTATTTAAAAACATTTATTATTCAGTATATTATACTCTGAACTTGATAAAAAAAAATTTTAACTCAAATATTAGAAGATGCATGTTTTGAAGATATTTCAAAATTTGAACACAACTAAGGATGATGAGAGAGTTTGAGTGAGACTCTTCATATAAATGTTACAAAGTAGAACAAAAAAATAAAATGACATATGATTCTGTTCTTTGGTTAAGCCACCTTATGATGATTAACTTAGTATTCATCCTCATGTCGTGTGATTGTTTTGGATTTTTTTTATAGGCCCAGCAATCTCTTTGAAAGCCTTTCTTCAAGATATGCCTGAGTTAATACCCCTAGGAGAGTGGGCAGATAAGCATTTAGTTAATCTTGTGGAAGCACTGTTGTATACTTCAGAAACAGATAATTTGAAGGTTTGTTTTTAAAATAAGTAATGTGATATTGAAATTCTTACCTTTAAGATTTTTAAATGCTTGATTAATGAAATTAAGTGCATATCATTTTCCTATAATTGATAAGAATTATATTCCTTTTGGAAGTGTAATTGCTTTAAACGGGATGAATAGAAAACTACTGGATTAAGTTTTCATATCTATGAAATCTATTGCAAATATTAAGAATAAAGTGAAAACTGTTGTCACTGAGATATCTTTCATGCACTTTTTTATATTTTTCAGTTTTCAAGATTGTTGCAGTCAAAAAATATTTGGGAAACTTGGTGCTCCAAACCTTTGCTTGAACTCTTGGTTCTTCCACCAGAGGGAGCAGATGAGACAGAACTTGAAGAAGCTCGTAGAGGCCTGTGTTCCATTGACTGGACGAAAATATTATTAAAGTGGAAGGTAACTTGTTTTTTGACAATCATTTCTGTATGTCTTTGAATAATTTTACATTTTCAGTTAAAAATAAAGAATAAAAGGGGGATAGTTATGTGGTATTCTGATATTACATATCCCACTCTCTTACAAATGTTTAATATAATGACAAAATTATTACATTTTTACATTTCATTTCAGATCCTGGTAAATCAGGTCTAGACCATTTGCTATTTCATCCTTAGGTGTTATTGTTATTGGAATGAATTATTTAAGTCTGCTACTTCTTCTTTCATAGAATAGTTGTATTATGTCCATTAACACCCTGAGTGTGAGGTTATTTTATGACTGTCACATGGAATAGAGATCTTCTTATTCTTGCAATCCAAATTTATGATTGAGTAGCTACTGATATAATGTGAATTAAGAGAATATTTTAAGCACATTTTAGAGATTAATTTTACAAGTGAATAAATCAAGGTGTGCTGTGAAATCTTGTCAACATTATTTTTTGTTCACAAGTAACAATAATACTGTGAATCATGTGTTTGGATTTTAACTGAATGTGCATGAATTTGATCCATTTAACAAACCCCATGCTGGAGAAGGAATATTGACTATAATTCCAAACTTACAATGCGTATCTACACAAAATGCGGCAATCATTTAGTAAAATGTTCAAGTCTGTAGTAGACAAAAGAAATCAGATGTATTTGAAATATTTGTACTTAAGATATGTCTGTGAACTGACAACATCATTCTGACTTAGATTGTGACAAGTCAGAGTGCAAACTGGGGTTCATGTGAAGAATAAAAATACTTTCACACATTTTACAGTTTGCATATTGCATTTGCTAACATCTAAAACCTCTGAAATCCATATCTACAGTTGTTGTTTTTTCAGTTACTCTTTATATTGTATTTGGTAGTTAACTCTCCTCTACCACATATTGTTGCTAAATCGGCAATGTAGAGAAAAATGAATAGTTTATAACTAACTTCAAATACATAATACCATGTTGAATGGCGCTCTGTAAAATGTTGTGGTATGCACACTTTGATCCCCACCTGTGCAGATAGGGCTAATTTCTCATCTAATAATTCTGCCACAATTTTGTTTAAAATTACAGCTTATTTATTCCTATGTTTTATTATAGAGTTTATATTTAGTAAACACATTTTGTGTTATATTTTTATTTTTAATAACTTTTTTAACTTTCAACTTCAGTAAAGTAATTTCTATCACTTATCAAGATCAGCCTTTAATTCTGATGCCACACTGCTTTAGTTAATAAAATGTCCATTTTCTATCTTTGCATCGAGTCTTCTCTTTCATTCACCTAATGATAAATTAATACACTTATCTTTTCACATAATACACAAGCCTTCTATTGTTGTGTAATCATGTGACTATGTTTCTTTTTATGAGTTCTAGAATACCACAGATTAAAAGTTGGTTCATAATTTATTGTCTTTGAGTCAATAAATTGAAATATCTTTTCTCTAAGGTTGGAAAATAAATTTAGTGATTCTTACCCTTTTTAACTGCTTAATTTTTCAGGCTGAAGCAGTAAATTATACTGGAAGTCCTCATGTTTCACTGCAGTCACTTACCTTAAATCTTGGAGGATTTTTGGACCAAATCAAAACCATGACAGTTGACTCATCACATACTTGGCATCCACAGACTGGCCCATTAGGGGTCCAAGTCTGGATGAAAATGATGGAAAGGCTTGAAGTTCAGATAAACCAGTCAAGGTTAATACATTATTAAATAAAGCACTGTTTGATCAATGAGATTGTTATATGATGTAATGTTTTAAGTTTGTTTTAGTAGAAATAATAATAATGAAATAGAATATCTTAGATAGCATTGTAAAGGAAGAATATATGTAAAGAGTGGGTTTGGGTTGTTTTTTTTCATTACTATGAAATTATTGTAATTTGCTAGTGAATCCTTTTATACGTTAATGTAAAAAACATGGTTTTTATGCACTTCTTTAATAAAAAAAAAAAATGGTTAATTGTTTACCTTGGTGTTTTAAATTGAAATTACATTTTACATACTAACAAATGGTCAGAAATCAAACTATCATTTGTATGGCTCTAGATTTGCAGAAGCCAGTGATGCAAATGAAAAAATTAACAATATATTGTATCAAAGTCTGCAAAGGTTTTATATAGCAGCAGGAAACAACAGTTGGATCATCAATTTAATCAATGATGTTCTTCAAATGACAACCTGTGGTTTGAAATATGTTGAAGGTAATTGATATCAAATTTATATGTTTGTTTGTAAAATATGTTACAGTACATCAGTTTTACATTCTACAGTTCATAACAATAATTATATTTTCTTAATGTATTTGTTCTGTTATTTTATTGCTAACACCACAGTAATGTTTTGTAATGCAGTCTTCATCTATTTAAAACTTTCACTAAAAAAAGGTTATCTGAGTTTCTTGTATTGATTCAGAAACCAGTAGTGTTTTTATGCAAATAAAGATTTGACCTTTAGGTTTAGTTATATACATATATAAGTTATAAGTTGCAGAAAACATAAATGAGTTTAGTGTTATAAGTTTATATTAAAAGTTAATTTATTCAGTGTAGAAAAATACTCTTTCTGGATGGTGAATGTTATCGTACCTTAATATATTTACTCTAGGTGCTTTTAATATTTATTGCTTATAGCATAAAATGGTATTCATTTTTATGTACTTAAAATATTCTTTAAGTATAATTCCCTGTTGCATTTATAGTTAAAAATAACATCATTGGTCGTAGATGTTTTAAGAAAGTGATACATTTCAATTTCAGCAACTAAAAACTGGAAGAGTTTGTATAGTTTTTATGAAGAAAAACCTGATGTATTGGCTATTCTTGATCTTCTGAACAGAAGTGTTGATGTCTTTGACATAATATTGCAGACAATTGTAGAACCTGTCAAGGTAAACTTTAATAGAGTATGTTATTCAGTACTTAAGATTTAGAGCAGATTAAGAATTTAGATATTAAAACAAATTGTATAGCATTTTTCAAAAATGTTTCAACCAAGTTCGTGAATGCAAGTGCAACTTTGATTTGACTTCAATTGCTCCAAGTGTTGTTCAAGTGTGAAATTAGAATACAATGATCACTTTAAAAACGAAATAAAACTGTAAACACTTTCTAACCTGATCTTCTAATCAAGGGGATTTATTTCACTTTATTAGTGTAATACATTTTTAATTTCCATGATTTGCAAAAATTGTATACTTTTTTTTCTTCAGCTTACAGCCATTAGTAATGACTTTTTGGAGCCTTTCATGGGGAAGACACGTTTTTGCGCATTAAACTCTAGTAATTGGCAGCAGTATTTTGAAACAGCAAGAACTCCAGAAGCATTTCAAGTCTTTGAAACACTTCAAAGGGTTGTGTGCCAAGTAAATTTTACAGCTGCAATTGTAGAACTAAACCTAGTATCAAAGTGTTTTCCATATCAGGTAATGAGATATTAGAGCTGTGTGCTTTTTTCTAATGTTTGATACATAAACTGTTTTGGAGTTGAGTAGAATAATGCCCATTTGATGGTTGTAAACATTGTAGGAATGAAATTATAATTTTAAATTCAATTTCATTACTTTCTTTGTTATTTATTTTGACGTGCATTGTTTAAATTTGTGGTTACATTTCAACTCTACTATTACATTGTTGCTTGTCCATCATTAATATTGTTGAATCATAGCTGTTATGTTTTTATGTGTTACATATTTATGCTAAGCCTGATCCTCAGTTGTATTTCTGGGTTTACTGAAATAGATAGTGTTCTTTTGGTTAAGACAGTATGGCAAAACATTGAGAAAATAAAACACATTACAGTGGTTGATTTTCTTGGAGACAAGTCTCACACACACACACACATATCAATGATAAAAAATATCTATAAAACATTTCTTTAACAACTAATATTTTATTAAATAAATATAAATTTTGAAAATCATGCATATTTATGAGGTATTTTAATATCTGGAATGTGATTTTTTATTTATTTCTTAAATAATAGGACATTGTAATATGTATTATTTTTCACAATTTTATATTAATAATATGTTTCCAAATAGGAAGATCAATTCACAGAGATTGTTTCCAGTCTGAACAGTACAGTGTTGAATGCAAGCCTGTTTGAGAACACCATTAGAAATTTGGTTAAAGCAGTTTCTGAGTTTGTTAACAAAAGTAGCAACTATGAAGATAATTGGTCAACTGCAGCCTGGCTAGATCCTAGGCACTGGGAGTCTGTCTTCTCAAAATTTACTAGCACAATTCAAGAGGACGTACCTGGGTTTTTGACCACAAGGTTTGCCTATGGTTTCTAATATCATTTCAAATGAAGTTTATGTCATTCTCAGAATGTTTGGAAGTTGAATCGTGTATTTTATTAAAGGTTAAACTCTATTTGATATTAAATTGGAAACTTCATTCTGTCATATATGGGATTGTGTAACATATTATAATTATTTTTATCATTTATTGTTTAGTTTTCTAAAACTCCACAGATAGTACCACTTGTCAGTAAGTGTAATGGTTGTTTTGCCTGTAGTAATTTGTGCTTTTTTGTTTTTTATTTGAAGCCACATTTTTTTTGAATATATAACATAGGTTAACAAAGTGGATAGCAGTTGAAGGAAGAACCTTGGAGACAATTACAAAACCACAGCCAGAATATCAGGTGCTTTATAAAGTGATAGAGTACATCTATCAAAAACTTTCCAGTATGAACAAAGGTAAAGACTTTTTTCCTGAAGCTATTTGTATACTATGTACTTATCTTCATACAGAGCTTTCTTTTATAATTTGTAATTAAATGCATATTTTTTTCAATTGAACTTACAATGTTTATTAATGCTTTGTCAGGTAATCATGAAACAATCATGTTTTTTATGCTTCATTCTGCCATGTATTCTTGAAGTGCATTTGAAGTTCGTCAAACACTGAACTGTTATTAATTAACCACAGGAGTGTCAGATACCCAAAACCCAAATAATAGTTAATGCTATTATTTATATATTAAAATATCTGCATGCATTTCCTAGATTATCTACAACAATGCAAATATAACAGTTGCATGTTTTTGTACAAAGTGGCAGTTATTGAAGTAAGGGCACACATCATGCTGTAGTCCAGAATGTCATTCCATATGTGTATCTATAGATATGTATATTGCAAAAAACAATGTGGGTACATATAATCAATATCTATAGTAATAGCATGTAAACCATTTATCAGATATTATTTTAAATTCAACAACTTAGAACATTGCAAAACATGCAACAATTAACTGTTTCATAAGCAGAAAAATGTACAACACATGGTGGATTATATCAAATTATATCTGTACACGTATGTTATTATAAAGTAAGTTTTCATCATGGTTGTTTTTAATGTAGCATTTGTAATTAACTTATCTTTCACCTTACAAAGAGCTTGTTTATAAACTTGAAGGCTTGCATTCATTAAATACAATATGGTGTTAACCTCCAAAGCTTATTTTGTTACTTTTTTAGCCACTATTAAGAAAATTACTCCTAAAACTTATAATGTAACAAGTTTATTAAAGTCAGTTCATGTGTCATTTAATGTATAAAAGTTCATTCACTATAAAAACCAAGACAAGATGTTGGCAGTATCCAACACACTGATAAAAATTTTTGTAAGTGGGTCCAAAAAATTGGGGGAAGGGGGAGGCCCCCATTGGTCCAATACTGGTTAACCACATTCTTCAGATTTTTTTTAATAACAGTGTTTATAATATATATGATGCTCTACTGACGTTTATATGAATGAAAAAAATTCTTATTTATTTAGAAGACTGGTAGTCAGGGTGCTCAACTTGCAATTTGTAGGTTGTGGGTTCAAATCCCCATTGCTGAATATGTTCACATTTTCATCTGTGGGGTCATTATAATGTGATGGTCAGTCCTATTATTCATTGTTAAAAAAAAAAGTAGATCAGGAGTTAGCAGTGGGTGGTATTGACTAACTGCCTTCCCTATCACTGGTCTATCACTGTTAAATTAGGTATGGCTACTTGGAGATGAGAGATGGATGCCAATTGGTAAATCTGCCTAAGATAACTGATGATGCATCAGAATCTTAAGGTTCTCTAAACAGCCAAAAGCGGCTTTGGTTCTCAAAAATAATAAATTTCCTTTTCCATCATTTAAATCCTATCAACCTAATTCATTATGCATTTAAACATACTTAAGAATTGTTTCAATGTATAGCAAGTGTATTGGAAAAAGGTACTTGGACTTTGCAGTGTGCAAGTATAGCAATGCACCAAGTAAATCTATTAAGCGCTATAAATGCTATCTTTATACAGAAACTTTTTATTACTATTGTTATTAAGAACACGTCTGTTAAAACAGCATGGAATGCAAATACCACCTAACTCACTCTTCAATAGCAAATTTATTTCATATTGCCAAAATTTTAAAATTCTTCTAAGAGCTCTAACTTGGAACTTGCCAAATCCAGTTAAAAGTTTTGTGTCAATTCAAACCTAGGTGTTCATTTCTGTAGCAGTATTTAATCATGGAAACTATCTACTGTTTCAGTTGATAGTTGTATGGTGTTTCACATTACTTTGTGTATGTGAGGCTGCTCTGAAAGTATCATAAGGAGTAAAGATGCTTCCAGATACTTGTGATCTAATATTCTGATTGATCAGCAACAGAGAAAGTGTGGAATGTACAAGCAGTTTTGGTGTACACAGCCAAACAGAATCTTGCCTGTTTTGAATTAATCAAAATGTGATTGTAACATCTTGTAGCTGTCTTTCTTAGGCATTTGACTTGCTAATTATGTGTATAAATTTTTCATTTGGTATATTTTTAGTTCATTAAAAGTAAAATTTGCATTTTTTTTTTACTTACATGTAATTTAATCATATTGCTTCACTTTAAACTTTAAAAACGTTAATGTAACAAATATTTTCACTTGATGATCAGCCTGGATTCGACTTCACTTACAACTGGCTTCAGCTACTAAAGTGTTTATTTTTATTAACTTCACAATGTGTCCTGTTTCTTTCTTTTCACTTAAAACAAATCACCACAACTGTCTTTCTTACGTTCATGAATCTCTTGTTATTGTGCTTTATTCTTGGAATACAACAATAATTTATATTCATTAATGAGTTACAGAAAAATTGCTTGAACATGTGATGCAGATACTTGTATGACTCCATTCTTCATGCAATCTTTTTCTAATCTTACAGTAGTTGGTTTCATACATCCAGAAGATCTTTTTCCTGAAATGCCAGCAGTACAGGATTTTCTAAGCCGTTTGTTTCCTATACTTCCAGAAGCTATAGAAACATTTGCTTGGATGCCATTTGTTCAAGCTAAGGTATATTTGTTGTTAAAAATTATTTGAATAAATGCACACCAAGCAAGTATACTAGCATACAGAGAATAAAGAAACTGTTTTAAATTCTAAATACATTTGACAAGTAACCTAAAAGTAAACTATGCAAATGAAGGTGAATATTAATTTTTTTTATACGAGGAACTTCATGATAGTTTATAAAACAATAAACTTTTTAGTATTAGTATCTCAAGGAAGAGCTTTAGTACATACGAAAAATTACTAGTAGGATTGAAGTATTTAATTATTTTTATGAATTTGAATAGAGGATTTATTCTTTAAGTGTGTATAAAATAGTTGACGTTTTTAAGATTGCTTAAAAAATATCGATAAAAACGAAAATATTTTTAGTATGCTTAAAAAAAGGTTTAAGTTTCAGTATTTTTGAAATAGAAGTTCTAATATTTAGTAGATTTGATACTATTAAACAGAAAGTATGAATTATGCATTGATCTTTTGTAGAAATGAAATGTTTAATCAAAAATTATTATTAGCAAATGGGGGACTGAATGGATGTGAAAAGTTTGATGAAAAATTGTTATTTGGTAAATTGGACTGTTAAAGTTTCTACTGAAATGCTAGACTTTAATAAGATGCAGAAAAATATTGAATTTTTGATTTATTGAAATTCTTGAGAAATCGATAAAAAATCAAGCTTTGGTTTGTTGAGTAATTTATTGTTTTATGATACTTAAAAAAGAAACTGCACTGGTCACTATATTTTGAAATGGAACTTGTGTTTATGGAAAATGTTCCCAAGTTTTAACAAAGTATAATTTTTTATGTTTTGTGAATTTCAACAGCTTAATGTCGTAACGTTTTTGGATTCATCCTCAGAGACTTGAGACTTGTGTGCTATTCTTCTTTTTGTACCATTTTATATGTAAGGTACTGTTATAGTTACAGGTGTCAAATTGTATATTCATGCCATGGATATGTATAGTGGGAAAATGTATTAAGTAACTAAGATACACACACACACACACACACACACACACACACACACACACACACACACACACACATACTATTTACTTTA